GGGGGACACACACGCCGTGGGGCTGGGGGAGGTCAGCGAGCGCCTGCTGAAGCGGCCGCGTTCTCTTCTGCTGGCTCTCGCCCCAGGGAGTTGCGCGAGAGGCTGAAGCCGGAGCTCCTGGAGCTGATCCGACAGCAGCGCCTGCTGCACCTCTGCGAGGGCACCCTCTTCCGCAAGATCAGCAGCCGCCGCAGGCAGGGTGAGTGCCAGCCCTCCGCTCCCGGGGTGGGGGGGTGTCCCGGGAGGGGGACAGAGGCTCGTCCCCCATGTCCCCTGCCACCGGGGAAGTCGCAATTAATCTGTGGGGAGTAGCGTGTGTGGCTCCCCGGACGGCTGGCGTGGGCTCACCCAGGGGGTGGGACTGACGAGGGGGCAGCTCCCTCCACCTGGGGAAGGGGACCTCAGCGGCGGGAGGCTGAGCATTTCCCGACGGCCCTTCTGCTGCAGACAAGCTCTGGTACTGCCGCCTGTCACCCAACCACAAGGTGCTGCACTACGGGGACGTGGAGGAGGGGGTGCACTCTCCCCCCATCGAGAGCCTGCCAGAGAAAAGTAGGTGATGGGGAGAAAGAGGGTGGGAAGGAAGGGAGGGGAGCCCTCTCCGTGCCTCCCCCAAGCTGTGACATGCGGGGGATGCCTTAAGGTGGGAATCGCCCCTCTGCCTGGCCCCCGCACGCCTGGCCCAGTGCCCGCTGGTACCGTGGGACTGGGAGCTGTGGGAGTTCAGGCTGGGGCGGGCTGGCTCTCCAAAGGGCGCTGCAGAGCGGCTTGAGCCCCCCCGTCCCCGAGCGGAGGGCTGTGAGCCCCCATGCTCGGCCTCTGCTGGGCTCTGAGCGCCAGGGACGTTGGGGAGAGGAGAGCGGGTGCTCACAGCTCCTCCGCTTGCCCCAGTTCCTGTGGCGGACATGAAGATGCTGCTTGTGGGGAAGGAGTGTCCGCACACGAAGGAGAAGAGCTCCGGGAAGCAGAACAAGGTCAGCACCTCCCACCCCGCCTCGCGCAGGGGGCCCAGCACGCTCCCCTCCCCAGCTGCTGATGGGTTTTGGTGGTGGGTAGATGGTGGCAGGTTGGGTGGTTTCATGGACGGTGGTAGGTTTTTGACGTGGCTTGAGACTCTTGGGTCTTCTGGGGTGCAGAGGAGGAGGCTGGGAGGCAGCTCCTGCTGGGAACCCCACCGGGGCTGGAAAGAGTCCAGCTGAGAAGCCGGCTACCCCCTGTGCTGTCCCCACAGGACGTCCTGGAGCTGGCCTTCTCCGTCGTGTACGACGTGGAGGAATACTGCCTCAACTTCATTGCCCCCACCCGGTACGAGGTGAGCTCCAAGGGCCCGCCGGGGAGGCATGCTGCAGCCAGATGTCCTTGCCAGGGGACAGCAGGCGGGGAAGGGAGTCGTGTGTGTCCCCTCATCCCCAGCCCACCCTCCTGGGCTTCCCCGGGGAGGGAGCCGCAGCGGGGGGGAGAGGTGGGCTCTCCGGCTGCCCAGGGCTGGTGCCAGAGACACTCGCGCTCTGCTTCCCCAGTTCTGCCTCTGGACGGATGGGCTGAACGTGCTCCTGGGCAAGGAGATGACGAGCGAGCGAACGCAGACGGACCTCGATGTCCTGCTGTCCATGGAGCTCAAGCTGCGCCTCCTGGACCTGGAGAACATCAGCATCCCCGACACCCCCCCTCCCATCCCCAAGCCCCCCAGCAACTTAAACTTCTGCTACGACTTCCGCCACGCAGAGCAGTGAGCTCCTCCCTGTGCCCTATCCCCCTCCCTAAGCCCCCCAAAATCAAACCCCTTCTTCCAGGTTCTTCCCAAAGGGACGCCCAGGCGCTGGCTGGGGGCTTGGGCGTGCGCTGCCTGCACCTCACCCATCCCGGGGCGCGCGCTGCCCCCCTTTCCCTGCCTGTGTCCTGCCCTCCTGCGAGAGCACGGGGCTGAGCCACCGAGCGTCAGGCTCCTGTTCGAGGGGAGGTGACCCGGCTGCTTCGCCCCCCTGCCACGGGCAGGCCAGACGAAATACCTTCCAGACAGCCGAACCCCTCTGCGGTGGCACTGACCCCCCCACACCCCAGCC